GATGGCTTGTATCATCATGCACAATATGACAGTAGAAGATGAACGGGACGCCTACTTAAATTATTATGATCCTACAGAATTTATGAACGATAGGCCTACAAATGGACGAAAGCAACAACAAAGGAACAGAAGAAATGGAGTAGAAGAAGAGGACGATGATATGTCTTTTCAATACTCGACTGAAAGAGTCACAAACCTATCTACGTATATGACCAATAGGTCACAACTTCTTAATAGAGAAGCTCACGTGACTTTGAAAAATGACTTGATTGAGCACATATGGGAAAAATTTGGCAATGGTAGTTGATGTATATTTTCATCTGAATATTTATAACTTGTTTAGTTTATTTCATTCCGAATTATGTAATTTCAATTTTTAATTATGTTTGTAATCTTTTTTTAGTTGTATTTTAAAATATTAATTTTTATAAATTAGTATTTTTAATTATAAATTTTTTAATTAATGTATCACAATTAGAACAATAACAAAAAATCTATTGTATATAATATTTAATAAATAAAAATAAAAAAATAGTATGTTGGGTTGGATTGAGTTGTGTTAGTGATAAAGATATGTAGGTTGTTAAAAGTTGGGTTGTGTATGTGGAAGAGAGAGAAATAATTTTTTATTATTGGGTTGGGTTGGGTTGGGTTGGGTTGGGTTGGGGATAAAGATAGTCTTAGGCTATCTTTATCCGAGACATTGGGTCACGAAAATTAAGAAAAAAAAAAGGAAAAAAAGGTGATCAGGTTGCGCGACCTAAGTCACAATGGGACCTCGGGTTGCGACTTGTGTTGTGAAGAAAAATGGGACACATGTCCATTTTTATTGGACAAGTATATTTTTTGGTTTCTAAAAAAATAAACAAATATTAAAATTTATATTTTTTCATTCTCTACAATAGAGACCACACTTGATATATTTTAGAATACATTTGCAATTTCTAAATAAATAAAATAAATATGTACTACAGTTGGGTTGGGGATAAAGATAAATTAGGTTGGAAGATTGAGTTGTGTATGTGGAGGAGATAGAAATAATTTTTAATTATTAGGTTGAGTTGAGTTGGGTTGGGGATAAAGATGGTCTTATTGTGCACGTCGGATGTAATATTTTACATGTTGGACGTGTGTAGTGTACAATGATACATGTGGAAGGAATGTAACAGACCCAATTTATGGGACCTTTGCATTTTTGGATTTTACAAATCATTGGGCCAAAATGCACATATCTTGCCTCTAATTTTTGGGCCGAAAATAAGTGTATTTTTTTTTTCTTTGGGCTGTATATGTATTGCCTTAAATCTGTATAAAAATGTTTGGGCTTTTATAATACTCATTAAATTCAACACTCTTAATTTATGTTACATTAGTAAGCAAATTAATATTATATATATTTATTTGATTTATGGTAAAATTATTTGGCACAAGTTTGGTTGTTACGAAGCTCTCTCTGCATGTTCTTGAATGTAGGATATTGACTGGAGATCACGCAGGTGAGAATGTGTTGAATCCTCAGATGAACATAACTCTTTTTGATGTTAGGGTTCCGTTTAAGTTCCAGCGGAGGCAATATTTTTTAGCGGGGTCGGCAATATTTTTTAGCGGGGTCATTAACCTAGTAAACAGTGTTTGAACAGTATTTTATACTAAAAATTTTGAAATCCATAGGGGTCAGCTGACCCCAACCACAAGGTGTGGCTCCGCTACTGAGAGCCAGCCTTTATCACATGTTGGACTGTTCTTGAAAAAATATGTTTTTAGTCATGGTCAGCTATACGTCGCTGTTTCACGTGTTACAAATACGAAGAGGTTGAAAATATTAGTTTTTGGGGACGATGAGTTACCCACTAATCAAACTAATAATGTTGTATATAAGGAGATTTTTAATAATATATGACTTTTTTATCAATGACAAATTTATGTTTACTTTAGTAATGTCATATGTATTATAATAACTTATTATTAATGACCTTTTAATTTTTAAAATTTTTTCAAAATATATACTAGCTCGTGCATCGCACGGGTTACATAATAATATAATATAAAATATAAAATGTAAAAAAAAAAGAAAGAGTGAGTTTGTGATATTTATATTTAAATAATAAATGAAATAGAGTTGCGAATGCGGCAAGAGCTTTTTCCACTAGTCACAGCAGGGGCGCACCGTATATTTACTAGACCTCCGTACCACCATATAAGATCTCCTACGCCCAATCTTCAACCACCGTAAAAACACGCACCGTACTGAAATATCCACCTCAGCTATGCCCCATCTCAGCCCAGCCCACAAAATGCCAGTGAAATAAAAACATTTTCAGAAAAAAGAATACATATATAGTATTAATCACTCAAAAATTTTGATTAATAGACCTGAAATTCTTTCCTCGATCCATTAGAAATCATGTGTTCCTTTGCTGTTTAATTTATGTTTTGAGGTTTGTTTTTCTTTTCCTTTTTTTTTTTTTTGGATATGAATAGTCGATTTGGCTTCACAGACTCACAATTCGAGCTGCCTTTGTTTGAATTGCTTGATTATTTGTAGGATTTGTGGTGGAAGAAACTCTAAGTTTTGGGGAGATTATCTGACCTTCAGCGGACATGCCAATGGTATAACCCTAACTCCATTTTTTTTTCTTCATTTTGTTTATTTTCTGAAATTCGCGTTTCTCTATAAGTTTGTGTTAGGCTTACATGTTGCTGTGGTTTAATCTCATTTTGAAGCTTTCTTTTGATTTTTAGTTGTTATTTGTTTATTACTAAAATGCTTTGATTGGAGAAGTTACTGTAGTTGAGCGGAAATTGAACTATTGGAGGATGGATTAAAGCTGGAGTTTTGGATTCTGTATCCCATATTCGATTGCTTTGTTGTTTTGTTGTTTTATATTCTTTTATTGGTCATCTACTACGTGTTTGTATACAAAAACATCCGCTCATTTTTGGGTTAACCATAGTTAATTTTGAAAAAAGTTGTATGCTAGTTGTTAGTGGGATTTTGATTTTATATTAAAATAATATTTAAAATAAAATAATCAATGTTGATTTGATGAGAGACAGATGATATAAAGTGATAGTTAGTTAAAATTATGTGAGTTGGTGAATAGTAAATTAAAGTTGATGTGATGTGTAAGAATGATTGGTTGATACTATTTAATTATATTGATAATATTGAGGATAGTAGGATTGAGTTAAAGTTCAAAAAATATTTCATATACAAACACACAGCTCATGTAAAAAATTGCATGAGAAGTCAGAAACAGTATCTACATTTACCTATGTTTGTTTAGTTTTGTTGTTTCCGAAATTGTAATGGTTATAACATGTGGCCTGTCACCGTACCCGAATGTGTTGATCACTTAAGCAAGCTATTTTTTTCCCCTCATTGACTTCTCGGCTAAGAATAGTTGGAGAATGAAGTTGATTAATATTTGATGGTATAACAGTTTGAATGATGATTATGAGAAACTATTAAGGAAGAAGAATGTGTGCTAAGAGACCTTTGTGACTTTCATTGGGTTGCTTTACTTGGGATAGCGAATCTATATGTTTTTTATTTTTTTTTCAACGAGTGAGTGCATATAGATGGTTTTCTTTGTATAAAGTAATAAAACACAGCTTATACTTGTAATAGATTTGTATGGGGTTGCAATTTATATTAAGGGTAAAGATCCTTGTATGGACATTAGGGTATTTGTGTTTTTTTAATGTTGGAACTAGGGTATCCTGGTGCTTGATTTCTTCGACAAACATTAAAATACTTGTGGTGGACACCATCCGCACATAGGAAAAAAAAAAAAAAATATTCCTAATTCCGTGTCTTGTTTTTTCAGTAAAAAACAATCATTAACAATAACGCTGATAGAGCGATGGGAATAATTACGGGAAGCTTCCCTTTCTTAGCTGGAACCGTGTGTGGGATTTACATAGCCCAGAATTACAATGTGCCCAACATAAAAAAAGTTATTACTGAAGCTCTTTTTACTGCCAAGAAAGTTGAAGAAAAGTATCGCAAGCCAGGGGACGGCGCAGTTTGATCACTTTCATCTGTGTATCTTAATTTTGATCAACTTGAACTCCAGGTTTTTATCCAGGTTTAGCTTTTTTTCCTGCTTTTAATTTCCACAATGGTTTGTCCTGGACTGATGTGGTTGGCACATGTGAGCATAGGTATAATTTGCTTTTAGGGTGCCTAACATTTGTGCTTAATATTTATATTGATAGCTCAGTGAAATAATGAATGACTATTGTTTGTTACTATGGTCTTGGTTTAGGTAAAGATACTTTGGTTGTAAGAGCTGCAATAGTAGGAGAATGTTTCTTTACTTCTTCTCCTGAGTGAAGAAACTTATTTGCATGGTACGAGCAAGGGTTGGCATCAGTACTTTTAAGATTTCCTTACTAATTTTCCTAGTATGCAACACATTTAACTTCTCGGGAGAAAGTTTCTTGGTTGACATGGGTATTGTGATATAATAATTCTGTCATGTTTTTGTTACCGGGATATAAATTTTATTGATGGTTATCACGTCTTTTCTTGGATTGGCATAATTTGTGGCAATTGTTGGGCGTGTGGTGCCATTTTTGTCTTGTCGACTGCTTTTATTTGGTCCTTCAAAATTTCTCGTTAGATCTTATTTCTAGTCTATGGCTCTTGCTTTTGTTTGGTCCTTCAAAATTTCTCGTTAGATCTTATTTCTAGTCTATGGCTCTTGCTTTTGTTTGGTCCTTCAAAATTTCTCATTAGATCTTACTTCTAGTCTATGAGTCCTGCTTCCCTTCTCGTATAGTGGGTTTTTTATCTTGCGAGTATTTTAAGCCAAGTAGTCTAACCAAACCCAAAAAATACAGACCAGAGTGTCCACACGCCTTTTTTTCATTCTTGTATATATACAAACTGCTCTTTGTTTCCTCTTTAATATTTTTTTTTATTAATTTTTTTTTTTTTTTTTTGGCTTATGACTGCAGATATTGATATGAGTAGGGAAGAATTTGGCAACATTATGACCATAAGGACAAGACCACCGCCTCTGGCTGTCGCCAAAAACAACTGCCACCGTGATGATGATGATGATGGGCAACCCAAGATGGAGCCCCACGTTGGGCTTGAGTTCGACACAGCCGAGGACGCTCAGGACTTCTACAGCGCCTACGCGACCCAGGCTGGTTTCAAAATCAGAATCGGGCAACTGTACAGATCACGAGTCGACGGCTCCGTCATTTCCCGCAGATTTGTGTGCTCAAAGGAAGGGTTCCAAACAAACTCAAGAACTGGCTGCCCCGCGTTCATAAGAGTGCAGAAGGTCGACTCTGGAAAATGGGTTATAGCCAACATAAAAAACGAACACAACCACGAATTTGAGCCCTTGGGCGAAATTTGCCAGCCCAAGATACAGAGGAAAACCTTCCCGACTCCGAGGTCGTCGTCCGGAGGGGCCAGCCGTACCGGTATTAGGTCCCACGAGGACGATAGCCCATCCGGCTTCGTCGACATGAAGCGTCTCAAGAAGGAGGAAACAGATTCAATTTTGGGGCCCACAGGCGAACCCCAGAAGGGGCTTGAGTTCAATTCTGCCAACGAGGCCTACAAATTCTACCACTCGTATGGCGCCCACACGGGATTCCGTGTCCGGATTGGCCAGCTGTTCCGCTCCAAGCACGATGGCTCCATCACATCCCGCAGGTTCGTGTGTTCCAAGGAGGGCCACCAGCACCCGTCCCGGGTTGGTTGCGGGGCCTACATGAGGATACAGAGGCAGGATTCTGGTCGGTGGGTGGTCGACCGCCTCGAGAGGGTACACAACCACGAGCTTGACACACCTGCCGATCCCATCCAGATCGTGACTCTCGCATCCAAAAGTGGGTACAAGGAGGAAGGCGGCAGCGTATTGGAGAATTTGGACCTGGTAGAGACCAATGGTGGACTCAGCCTTGTCAAGCGAGTACGGGAAAGCATCATCACCGGCGACTGGTACAGTTTGCTGCTCGACTACTTCCAGTCCCGGCAGGCGGAGGACACTGGATTCTTCTACGGGGTTGAGATACGGGACGGCAAGGGCATGAGTGTCTTTTGGGCCGACTCCCGGTCGAGGTTCTCGTGCGCCCAGTTTGGAGATGCTGTCGTTTTTGACACCATGTACAGAAGGGGAAATTACTCGGTGCCCTTTGCGAGTTTCGTCGGGGTAAACCATCACAGGCAGCCCGTGCTGCTCGGCTGCGCCTTAGTAGCCGCTGAAACCGAGGAATCGTTCACGTGGATCTTCCAGGCCTGGTTGCGTGCCATGTCCGGGCACCAGCCCACGTCTATCATAGCTGACCAGGACCATGCTCTCCAAAATTCAATCGTCCGGGTCTTCCCTGGGGCCCACCACCGTTTTTCTGCATGGCAGATCCATGACAGGGAGCGTGAGAACCTGGGTGCCCTCATGAACATGGATCCCGAGTTCAAGTACGAGTACGAGGCGTGTGTCTTCCAGAGCCAGACGGCCAGCGAGTTCGACTCTGCTTGGACTATGATTGGGAGCAAGTACGGCCTGCGGGACAATTCGTGGTTTAAGGAGATGTACCGGATGCGCAAGTGCTGGGTCCCGCTGCACATCAAGGGCACATTCTTTGCGGGCATACCGGTTGATGGGAGCCTCAAATCGTACTTCAGCACAATTCTGACGCCCCAAACGCCGCTCAATGAGTTTGTGGCCCGTTACGAGAAGGCCCTCGAGCAGAGGCGCGAGGAGGAGAGAAAAGAGGATTTCAACTCGTTCAATCTTCAGGCAGTCTTGCACACGAAAGACCCGATTGAGGAACAGTGCAGGCGGCTCTACACAATCAACATGTTCAAGGTCTTCCAGAAAGAGCTGCTCGAGTGCTACAGCTATGTTGGAATCAAAATAAACATGGAGGGGGCAATCAACCGGTATCTTGTCCAAAAGTGTGGGAATGCGGACGAGAGGAACACCGTCGCTTTTAATGCGTCCAATTTGAATGTGAGCTGTAGTTGTAAGATGTTCGAGTTTGAGGGAGTGCTCTGCAGGCACGCGCTCAAGGTGTTCCAGATCATGAACGTGAGGGAGCTCCCATCACGGTATGTGCTGCACAGGTGGACGAAGAATGCGAGGAGCGGGCTGCTGAGGGATGCCGAGTCGGGGAGTGGGGCCCAGGACTTGAAGGCGCTTATGGCATGGAGCCTGAGGGAGGAAGCACGGAGCTTTGTGGAGGCGGGGTCAGGGTCATTTGAGAGGTATAAGCTTGCATTCGAGATCCTGCAAGAAGGGAGGAGGAGCGTGTGCTGGCAGAATTGAGGTTGTGTGTAAGTTTCTGTTTGATGTTTCTATTTTTTTTTTTGCTTTTCAATTTACAATACTGTTATCAGCTGGAAGGGGTGGTACTGGTTTAGTGATTAGTGGAGTGGCTAATTTTGCCCGGTATCTCAGCCATGCATGTAAAGCAGTACTGGTGTTTGG